CCAGATAACCAACAGCCGTGTGTGGGTTCTCTGCACCTCTTCAGGCTCAGGAAAACACATGCAATGTGCCTGTTGTCCCATGCATGTTCCTTGAAAGTTGACTTCGCACTCGATGCCCTGTGGGCCCAGCTCCAACTGCCCTGTCAGTCCGACCTTCAGTTTTATTTCCTTTGTCCCCACACAGTCCCCTGCTCTGGCCATCCTGGTCAGCTCAGCCTCCAGACAGTCCCTGCACTCTCCCTTCAGCAGAGCCACCTGTCCTTTCAGGCCAACTCTGGTCCCAGGTGAAGGTTTCCTCTTGGATGCTCTTTAGTGCCAATTCTCTGTCATACTTACCTGACACATCCTGTGACACTGGGGGCTACTCGTTATGCATCTTCTGATGAGCACATCTGGTCTCCTGTTGAGTGGGACTGTTCTCTCTAGAGGCAAGACGTCAGCATCCTCAGCCTTATGGGGAAGACATGGTTTGCAGCAAGAACCTTTACCCCTTCCCCACATTAAGGCTAGAGACAGGGTGGTACCCCAGGAGGAACCCCCAGAGGGGGAAGTGTTGCAGGCAGTAGAGCCCTGTATCTCATCCAGGTGCGTATGGTGTCCTTAAAGAGGGGAGACAGGAGGGTAAGAGATAGACTGGAGATGTGAGGATGGATGCAGAGAGAGAAATGTGAAGATACTGAGCTGCCGGATTTGAAGGTGGAAGAAGGGGCCATGAGCCAAGGAGAGCGGGCAGCCTCCTGAAGCTGGAAAAGGCAGGGAAACAGATTCTCACCTGGAGCCTCCAGAAGGAACCAGCCCTGCCTACAGCTTGGTTTGTCACACCTAGCTACAAGGGAGTTTAGAAAGGTTCTGTCCAGTCAAACTCTGGCTAGAGTCACCTCCAAAATGGTGGCAGGGGAGTTCCCAAAAGCCCCAAATCTTCTCAAGATGGGGCCAGTTGGGATTCCAAAGAAAGAAGCAGTAAGTACCAGAGTGATCAGCCCAAAGCATTTATGAGGGGAACTTACATCCAGAGGGTTTCAGCGGCATCCTGATGGACTCTGAGAAAAGAGATGTTCTAACCACGATGCCCATAATGAAGGGGTGGGGGTACGTAGTTCATATGAGGGTTTAAGAAATTGGGCTCAGGAGAAATTGCTCTCACTGGTGGGAGCAGAGTGCCATGGCTGGAAGCCAGGGAGGCAGAGCCACAATGTCCCAAATCAAGGGCCTCGCACCCAAGCTAGACCAGAGGAGACGAAATGGAAAATGCGCAAGGCCGCCCCCCCCCCCCCCGGAGTTCCCTTCCCTGCGCTGCCCTGCCGCGAGCCACTCCTTTTATCCTGGAGAAATTGGACAGCACGCGAAGGCTGGGCAGTGCGTGTAAATGATTGACATGAAGAACCCGGCCANGTTTGTCACACCTAGCTACAAGGGAGTTTGGAAAGGTACCTTTTAACTGGGTGTTCTGTCCAGCCACGCTCTGGCTAGAGTCACCCCAAAAATGGCAGCAGGGGAGTTCCCAAAAGCCCCAAATCTTCTCAAGATGGGGCCAGTTGGGATTCCAAAGAAAGAATCAGAAAACACCAGGGTGTGGGGCCGGCCCAGTGGCACACTGGATAGTGCGCCACTTGGGAAGCGCGGCGGCGCTCCCGCCCGAGGGTTCGGATCCCACATACAGACCGGTTCCCGCTCACTGGCTGAGCGAGGCGCGGGGGCAACACCGAGGGTTGCGATCCGTTGCCGGACACGGAAAAAGACAAAAAAAGAAAAAGAAAACACTAGGGTGATCAGCCCAAAGCATTTATGAGGGGAACTTACATCTAGAGGGTTTCAGCAGCATCCTGATGGACTCTGAGCAAAGAGATGTTCTAACCACAATGCCCATAATGAAGGGGTGGGGGTACGTAGTTCATATGAGGGCTTAAGAAATTGGGCTCAGGAGAAATTGCTCTCACTGGTGGGAGCAGAGTGCCATGGCTGGAGCCAGGGAGGCAGAGCCACGAAGTCCCAAATCAAGGGCCTCGCACCCAAGCTAGACCGGAGGAGACGAAATGGAAAATGCGCAAGGACGTGACCCCCTCCCCCGGAGTTTCCTTACCTGCGCGGCCCTGCTGTGAGCCACTCCTTTTATCCTGGAGAAATTGGACAGCACGCGAAGGCTGGGCAGTGCGTGTAAATACTTGATATGAAGAACCCGGTCACAGTTTCTGCTCCCACCTGCAAATGAGAGGCCCAGAAAGGCATGAGAGGCTCTGGTTGAGTGGACATAAAAATTCCACTTGTAAGAACGAGCGTGCTCTGGTAACTGACCTTTGTAGCTAAAATATAAAACTATTTGAGAAGTATGAAAAGAAAAAGAAAATTTGGCTCAGGGCTGCGCTAGTTTCTATGTGTTCAGCAACATGGTTGATCTCTCAGGGTTTTGATCAACAACCTAGATAATGTCATCGGTGCCTGGGAATGTTCAAGGTCCTGCCTGGGTTCAAGCCTGCTGGGGAACACACGCAGCTGGTTGGGCACAGAGGGGTCAAGGCACTCATGTTTCTTGGTAAGGACACAGAAAGAAAGCAGGGGGCCCGGGGGACCCTACAAGGGGTGTTCTTGCTGCCAAGAAGGGGAGAGTGGCTACTGGTCGGTGACTCGTGTCTCTGCTACAAATGCTTGCAGGGCTTTGGTGGCTCGCGGGTGAAAGGGCCGGGCACCGGTGGGGACTTGGGAGGCGATGTCTGCTGAAGGGGGCGGATGCTCTTCCCTCTTTCTCTGGACGCCAGGCGCGCTTACACCTGCAACAGGGACTCTGCAGGTCGGGAGTGATCAACCGATTTACGAGACCCTTTACTCGGATTGAACAAACAACCTCATCATGCAGTGACGCATCTTGCAAAAGTCACGATGAAGAGGAGAAAACAGTCCCCGGAATGCTCAGAGTGCAGCCTGACAGGCCGCTGAGTAACTTCCGCTGCTCTGAATGACAACTCTTTATCCCCTTCTAGTCGAGTGGCTCAGAGAGGCCCAAGGGGACTCTGGCAAAGACCTGTCACTCCTCTGAGAGGCTCTGGGCCTCCTTGCCCAGGGGCTGAGGGACTGGAAAGCAGGTCTGCCTCTGCATCTGCCCAGCAGGGCACTCGCTGTTGTGGTCCAGGGCTTCCTGGGCTTTGAATGCCACAGTATCACAGGACACATGACCTTTGCACTGACGCCCCCACATGTGCCCATTTTGGGAGGAGGCACGGGGGACCTCCTGGGAGCCAGAGCCAGTCCACTGCCACCCCCTCATGATCCCCAGCATCACTTCTAACCACTTCTGATTTCAGCCTGACAACAATCACACCCGGCAGGGACTGGGATTGCCATCTCCATTTTGCAGATGAGAAAACTGAGGCCTAGAGGTTAGGGATATAGAGCTGGCAGAGCCAGATTTTAAACCCAGAGTGGATGCTCTTAACAGGACACCACACCAGTAACCCAAGCCCTCCCCAGAGAAGACTGCAAGGAGGGGTGCAGGTTTAGCAAAACAAAACAGGTCGCCCCGTTATGTATAAATTTCACATAAACAATGAATATATTTTTTCAATATAAGCATGTCCCAGATATTGCATTCTATTCTTTATCTGGCAGCCCTAACTGCAAGGCAAAAGCCACAGTACCCCTCTGCTTAGTACCCCTCTGCACAGGCCTGAGAGAGGAAGCAGCCATGGGACAGGAAAGGTAACGACATGATGTGGGTGTGCAGGATGAGTGCAAGGCTGTCTCAGAGTCTCCGTGGCTGAGGAACCCATTTCAGAGAACAGGCATAACCACCCCCTGCTCAGACACAAGCTCTCCTTAGTAGCTTGTGGCTGGCTTGCGGAAGGTGGCAGCAGCGGCTGCCTGGCATCTGGGATGCTTAGGGCAGGGGAGGCAGAGGAATGCAGCTGTGCTGGGAGTTGTGGGGGTTGTGGGCCCTGCAGCACAACAGCTGGCAGGACACACCCAGGACCCAGGGCCAAGAAGTAAGCCCCACTTTGGCCCTGATAGCTCTCGGGCAATGCTGGGCCCAGAACACAGCTGCGTCTCCCTCCTGCTGTTCAGGTGGGAACCAGACACTCAGGATCCCCTGGTGCAGGAGCCACCTGTGGTGGGGGGCCCAAAGCCCGCATAGCAGCCCGCCCTGTGGTAATGAGTGCTGCCTCGTATTGTGTGCTTCTACTGCTGGGGCTCTAATCATTTGACCTCATTGAATCCTCATACACCCCAGCAGGTGGCCACCATTCACAGTTCCATTTTACAGATGGGGACACGGAGGCTCAGAGACATGAAGATCACGAAGCCAGTGAGTGACAGAGCTGGAGACTGAGTTCAGCACAACAGACCACTCACAAGAGTGTCCTCCCATGTCAGGATACACTGAGGTGTGTCATCGGCTCAACCCAGTCCCAGCTTCCATTTCAGATCGACAGATGAAAGGTAACAGTGGCCCCTTCAGCCCACTGAAAGCTCTTCCTGGGAATTCTGGGCCTCACCTGCAGAGAGCTCAGAGGGGCTGTCGCCAAGCCTGCAGGAAGAGCGGCAAAGCTGTGCCTGGGAACACGCACTGTGAGGGAAGTGTCCCTCTGCCCAGGTGCGCGCTGAACTGGTCTCAAATGCCCAGGATCAAGTCCCAGCTCTGCAGCTTCCTCTCTCTCTGTGTCTCCGTGACTGTCTCATCTCTCTCTCTCCATCCCTCCCTCTTTTAACTGAGGCAAGTTCATTAACCTATTGCCTCCATCACCTTTTCTGTAAAATGGGAATAGTCATTTATTCTTTATTTATTTTTATTTATTTTTTTGTCCTTTTTGAGACCGGCCGCACCACGCTCAGCCAGTGAGCGCACCGGTCAGCCCTATATAGGATCCGAACCCGCGGCGGGAGCGCTGCTGCGCTCCCAGCGCCGCACTCTCCCGGGTGCGCCACGGGCTCGGCCCGGGAATAGTCATTTAGAACCTCACAGAACTTCTGAGGACTCAGTGAAGGTTCATTTGTAAAAGCACGTAGAGGACAGGCAAGAAGCGCCAGCTGTCCCAGGGAGGTAGACAGCACCCTGCGGCATGATCGGATAGACTAGTTATTGCTGTCCACAGCTGAGAAAAGCCCTCAACGTCGTGAGCTCATGCGACCCCGTAGGGACCCTGCACTGTGGCTTTCAGGATGGATCTGACGGATCTGAAGCTGCCCGTCCAAGAGAAATAAAACACTGAAATAAAATAAAAAATAAAATAAGCTATTTTAGGCTTTTTAGGAACCACATGAAAATGGTATACGGACTTGGATTTTCAGCCTTCAGAACTGTGAGCAATAAATTCCTGT